TGGGTACAAACCTTCAAGGTCAGGCCTTGAATCTTTAGAGATCAGGTGTGTAAGAGCAACAGGAGGTAGGTATAAGACTCCGATGGCCTGGAAAGCCATGGATTCCGGTGGTTTAAGGTAGAAGTGGAGGGAGGCGGCTAGGGTTTGTGAGAGAGATTGAGAGAGAGTTGAGAGAAGAGGGATTCAAGGGCGGCGTCTAGGTGATGAATGAGTAGGGTTTGGGGTATTGGGGAAATTAAAAAGGAAAGAATGAATAGGGGCCGTTGATCTCAGAGATTCAATGGCCAGGATGAGAAGGGGTCTGGGTCGGGTAGGATTTAATTGGGTCAGGGGCTGGTTTAAATTAAAAATGGGTCGGGGAATTGAGATTGCAATTGGGTTTAATTGGGGGGCTGATTTAGGCTAAAATCGAAATAATTAGGGCTAGTATTTAAATAGCCACTTTTTTCCTTATTTATTTTATAAAAAATAGTAAAATATTTTCTGGAAACAAATTAAAGATACTAAATTAATGAATAGTATGTAAATATTAGATTAAAAATACCTGACTCAATTTTGTAAGTATAAAATGCAATTAAATCTTAAAATGGGCTAATATTGCAATTATATGCAATTTAGCTTTAAAATACGAAATAAATTTATAAAAATATACAAAAATTATGTTAGCTACATTTTTGCATAAATATAAAATTCTAATAATTAAACCACCAAAAATAATAATTATGAAAATAATCATTGGATTTTTATAGATGAAAAAGGAAAATAAATCATTTTAAAAACCTTAAAATTATGTAAAAAATAGTAAAAATGCTAGGATATACTTATATATGCGTATATATGCTATTTTAAAGATATTTCGCATATAAAAAATATGCAGAGAAAAATTGGGTATCAACAGGCTCGATCCAAGTTGTCTTTGTTCCATCCTTTAGCTTCTTCATATGTGTATGCTCAAATACTTCATCTTGAGTAGCTGGTCTTTTTAAAGACTTTTTCTGTTAAATAAAACATGAAAATAGCAAAATTAAAGTGCTATGTCCATGAAACGGTTCTCTATTCTTGAAAATTCAGGAAAACTAACAGAATAGGAGGCTCAAAGTAGATAATTTCATCTCTGTAAATTAGATAATGTATATTATTTCATAAAGTAGAAACCTTGAGTTACAATATGGATCAACAATGAATCAACCAATTCAGGATTATTATAGTACCAAAAAAAGGCTATATCTAAACATTAACTAGAAAAAACTAAATCGAGATATATAAATAAATTGATGAATACCGAATAACCTGAAAACCAAAACCGATGATTCACATAAGTCATAATACATCATACAGAGCTACTCATGCCCGAAAACTACCGAGCGAAGTGTAAATGCTCAAAACGACCGGTCGTGTCGTTACAGCAAGAAACTAGTGACCACATCTTCTTTGAATGCCCCAATGCAACCCAATTCTGGCATGAAATACTAGCCAAGGGAAATACTGAAAGTCAGCAATTGAATCTCATCTTCTCAGCACAACTTTGGCCAACAACCTAGAACAAGCTAAAGAAGCTATCTTTTAACAATATTATCCCTTGGGAACATCCTTTCTTTTTGCTTCTAGCACATCTGGCTAGCAAGAAACCACAACCTTTTCAATAATAAGAAGGATAACTTCTTAGTAAAAAAACACCATCTCTAAATCAACAGAATACTATATGTTGGGACCAAAAGGTGTTATCAGGATGTTATTCCATACCAAAGTTAATTGGGAGCCCCCCTTGATGGGGCACTATAAACTCAACGCGGATGAGGCTGCCAAGGGCAACCCAGGCATTGGGGAAATTGGTGGGGTATTCCAGAGTTATAATGGGGATTGAATTATAGGGTATATGAAAAATATACCACATAACACCAACACCATAGCAGAACTAAAATCACTGCTAAAGGGCCTCCAAATAGCAGAACAAAATGGATGGGTTCCTCTGGAGTAACCCATCCAAATATCATTTTTATTACAAATTCGACTGAAGTAATAAAAATGATACTCACAAGCAATATAACTTATGATCCTATGATTTGTGAATGCATGTCATTGATGCAAAGGATGGACAAGGTGGTAGTGAGATACAGTTACAGGGAGCAGAATAGATTGGCTGATGCACCGGCAAAAGAGGCAGTAAATTTAAATTTTTTAGGTAGAACTACCATGCTAGCAGTTCCTCCGATGTTTGCAAATGATGTATTTTGGGCAGACATCCTAGGAACTGAAGTAGTTAGAAATTTTTTGGCATGTAATATTGATACAATTGAACAAATATGGCTGTCTAATTAGGGGAACTGTTGTCTCCCCGCTTAGACAGTAATCTGCAATGTAATTTCTAGTTAATTATATATATAATTTTCCTTTGACAAAAAAAACAAAAAAAAATTAAATTTTGGAAAGCTTCATTAGTCAAAATGAATCTAGACTCAACATTTATTGATGTCAAGTTCCTCTAAAAAGATCATTTCTCGATATATCTATATGGGTCATCCTTGGGCATAGTATCATGCTAATTTTCTGAATATTGTTACATCAAAAGAGATCAAAATATCAAGTAGTTGGATTTGAATCCACAATACATAAAAGGTGCCTACTAAAAAGTAGGAAAACTTACTTGTACAAAGAGTATATATGATCTTACAAGAAATGATTTAGAATTCACAAAACAGCTCTTTGAATTCTGCTATATATATATAGCTATTACAAATGTGATCCGACTTAATAGTTGATAAAAAATTCCACTCCTAATTAGTGGCAAATTCCTTCTACCTTCTGCAAGATCCTGCATATGAGGTGTAATTAGATCGGTTTCAAAATTGTTAGAGACTACCAAGCTTGATACTATTAAAAACCATAACAAAAATTCATGACAATATAAATAGTTTTACATTATAAAAGTAATTTAACATGTTATAGTAGGTTACGTTACTTATCAATAGTTTAGGTAACTAATCAATGCTTATTTGACAAAAAATATATTCAATTACATTTTAAGTGACTGTATAATTATTTTTTATATCGTTAGTGAATGAAAACTTAAATTCCATTACCCGAATGTGGTCTATCGACTTCTAGTTCATATGTCTTTAGACATAAACTGTATGTATATATCTCTATGATTTAGCGTCCAGATTGACGCAAAGAGAAAGTAACTATTTGGTATTCAGAATCCACTGGCTTGACTATTAAATTCGCGTCATATAGGATCCATTAAAAAAGGAAGCGCTCATTATCAAGAGTTTCTCCATACCTAAGATTTGAACCCGAAACCTCTGATTAAGGATGAAGTAATCTCATTCATCCTATCCGATCCATAACCCCTTGGATATGGAACTGATGTTCATGTCAAGAATCCTTTTAAAGAAAACTGATATTCCTCAGAATCTCCATATATAGAGTTCTTGAGTCTCAATTCTCCACAAAGCAGACATCTTCCATAGGAACTAACAGAGGACGAGTCAAATGATTATTTGAAGCAAAATGTAATAATGCTCTATTCTATTAATATACATAATCTGATAAAATCTTAATTCCTAGTCTAGATCCTGGACCCGGTTCATGCTTTAAATAAAAGGCAATTCTTCTTTTGATTTCGTACCATCAAATTATGTATATAAAGAAGAGTTTGTCTTCTTCAAACAGATAAACATGTAGCAGCTTCAATACTGACTAAAGGGCAGCCCGGTGCACTAAGCTCCCGCTATACGCGAGGTCCGGGGAAGGGCCGGACCACAAGGTCTATCTTACGCAGCCTTACCCTACATTTCTGCAAGAGGCTGTTATAATATCATGATACACAATTGTTTGTTTTATTGAAAAATATAGAACATTCTGACAAATAATTGAATTAGTGTGATGCCCCACAAGATCCAATATAGACAGTAAGCAATCTTGTAAAGATAAAAAAGGACAACTAAACAATGCAGATTCAAAACCTTCAATAGGCTGATTTTTGAGTGCTCATTCATAGAAGATATATCATTTTAATACTACCAAAAAGTTAAACAATTGGTGCTCTTTAATATCTATATGGTTTTCTCGTACAGGATCAAAAGATTTTCAATGATGATTCTTTGAAAATCTAATGCAAAATGCCCCTTTTTTCCAACAAAAAGAATTGCATGGTGTGGACAAGATAAACATTGATTCATGCATGAAACCATATTATATGAATATAACTTATACAAATTGAGAGCGTAAAAAATATTTACATATAATAAGTGAATCTTAGCTTGTGATATGTTGCAGGTTAGTTAACATTTTTAGAGGTTGCTATTAGTATTATCGTAAAAATTATCTCTAATTACATAATAAGTGATCTTATTGTGTAAATATTATTTATATTGTCAATGTATAGAATTTAAACTCTTAAATAGAATATGAATTCTAAAATACTTTGATAAAAAAATTCAAAAGTGTATATATAGTACCACAAATGACTATTTATGGCTGTGCAAGGGGGCACAAAATCTTCAGAATCCGAAAAGATTAAACAATAAACTGACATATAATCTATCTGGGAATTGTTTACTATATTCAGATCTTACTGCAGACAGCTTTATTCAGAAAGTGAGGAAATTAAATGGGTAAATTCTTGACCTTTCCTGTTGGAATTCCTTCTCTTATTTTTCTGTTTTGTCATATTGTTTCAAGTTAATTGAACAGTATTATGATAATCTTTGTTGAAACTTCTACTAGTATATTGTAAGTAATAACCAGTTAACTGTCGATAAAGAATTAGTTTTTCCATTTATTTCAAGTATTTTTAGGGTTTGAGATAAAAGACTAAATCTTTCCCGTCTTTATAATAGACAGAGGTGAATCCAAATATCTAAAAGTAGTGAGTCGACAACGAGTATGATCTTATTATATACATTTTTATATGTATATATATAATTTGAGCGGAAAGCAATGAATTTTTTGAACCCGCAAAACTTACCCTAGAGTATTCATCAACTATTGAGTTTGCTAGTGAAATTCAGTGTCAACTTTTCTCTTCCTCCGGGTTTTCTTATCATCATTAAAGATCGGAAAACCTAATGCAACACTTTAAACCATCATCACTCAGATCTAGTGATGAGGTACTCCATATGAAGTATCCTCACTACATTTGAAGAAAAGCTACACCCTTCCTCAGAGGCGGGGCTAGCTTATTAGGTGTGGGTTCGGCTGAACTCAGTCACTTTTGCTTAAACACTGTATTTATATTAGGAAATTCATTGAATATATATAAATATTTAAATTGCGAAACCCAGTAACTAAAATGAGCTATAGATTCTGTGGCAAATTCTGAACCCATAAACTTCAAATTTTGGCTCCGCTTAATACTCCCACTCTATCAGGTCACATAAAGGATAAGCACGGATAATTGTTCGAAAAAATTGAGGTTTTTTTTTTCACCTAAAAGAAAGTGAGATCATAATTAATCTAGAAAATAAAGCAGGTTATTTTATATTGTTAGTCTATACGTATGGAAGATCTTATAATAATCTAGAAAATAAGGTAGATTATTTGTTACAACAAGTTCAAGTTTAGTTATTGTATAAAAAAATTATACTATTAGTATATGTGTGTGAAAAATCTTATTATAATATAGAAAAATAAGACAGATTATTTGTTATAGCGAGTATACTCCTATAAAGAGTGTGAAAGATCTTACCAATTTCGAGGGGGAGGCACTAGGCAATAACTGTATTAGTGGATCAAGAAAATGAGAGGAAACCTGCAGAACTGGAATCATCATCTCCTTTGTTAGGGCTAGCCTTCTTTTGTTTCTTCTTATACGCAATGCCACGGGCCTTAGCTTGACACTCTTTCACTTCCCTAAGATACACACGAATCGCTGTGCTAGCAAATGGATTCGTCTCAGGCGAGCCGCCATTTTCTTCGTAGGCGGCTCGAAGCCTACCGATGAGTGCATCGAGGCTACCCCAAGCTTGTCTGAGTGGACAAGTACAAGGAGCTGGTGGCTCGGGTTGTCCATAGAACATACAACCTTGTAAATGAACCTTAGTCTTTCCAAACTGGTCCAGGTACCGAAGAAACTCTAGTATGTGGTTGCTATTGCACTGAGATAGCGGAATTGGTTGCCTCTGATTCCTCAAGTACTGATTAAAAGTATTCCAATCTCGTCGTTTTTGGGACTCGTATCGACTAGGTGTTGTTATTGATTGATCTCCTGGGGATCTTGATGATCCCTCAGCCAAATCTTTGCCTCTATGATCACTACTTGACATGGCTAGAGAGGAATTGAAATAGATCGAGAATATTGATCTGTTTGTGTGTAAGCCTAAATGTGTGAGAAATATGGAGAGTTTAAACAAAGGTTGAAGGAAGCAGGTGAAAATGGAGGGATGAAATTGTAGAAATCACATCAATATGGACCTATTGAGTTGACAAGAAATGGGCCATATGAGTTGCTTTCTGCTGCTTCTTTTTCCTCATCATACGTTTTATTAGTCTTTTTTTTATTATAATTTGTTTGACATTAGTGAGCGGAGGGTATATATATATCGGAGAGAGTCTCCCTATATTCATCTTTTCTGAGCCGAGAGTATATCGGAAACAGTCTTTCTACCTTTAAGGTAGGGTTACCTAAGGCGTATACACTACCCTCCCAAGACGCCACTTGTGCGATTATTTCACCCCGATTATACAATTGTTTGACTAGCTAAATAAAGTATTTGAAACAATATAAAAAACTATTCGAGAATTAATTAATACTTAAGTTAACAGATACATCCACCTAAATTATTCAAAGTAATTTCTGTTTGACTGGATTGTAGTGTAAGGTTTGAATATGGTACGGATAATAGGATCAAGCTACAGGTAACTCCTATAATTGGAGTAGTATTTTTGGCTGTCCTTTTCAGATGCAACTGGAATATTAGGTATACATATAGGTCGTTGAGACTTTGACTACTATAGGAGTACGTTTTTTTTTTGGGTTTCCAATTCGGTAGCTGGTATTCGCATTGGGATCCGAGCAAATTCATATTTGCATCGAAAAGTCACACTTGAAGATTTTCGACTCGAACCCATGACCTCATTACTAATCACTTTACAAAACTCTTGTTGGTGACTATAGGAATATGTTAGAGATAAGTTTTTTCTTTTCTTTATAGCCCGCTTGAAAAAGAACTACACGTTGTTTATTTGAAAATAACATAACGTTATATTTTTTTATCTTACTCTTAATGACATGGTTTTATAGCCAAACGAATATTATGACATATTTAAGACTATAAATTCAGGAAATTATCATTACTTTCTTAATTTTATATATATCATGTCAAATACCGTCACGTAAATTGAAATGGAAAATAGTGTTGCAGATATGTTGTTGATTTTGAATTAGATATCTTCTATTTATTTTTTTAAGTACGAAGAGCGATTTTATTTGTTTATAATAACTAGACAACATTTAGTGCGACTTTATTTTGAATTAGATATCTTCTAATTCGTGTAATCTTGCAAATATTTATGTCTATAATTAAGACTCTATTTTGGTTGTTTTTTAAATGTCTATATTTAATTTTTAAAGTATCTTTTGGTGAGTGGAAGCCTATAATAAATAGGAGAAAAGGAAAAAAGACCTTCGTAACATTTGAAGTGCACACCTTTTTTTTATGTAGGATGGAATTGCAACCAACAGTTTGCCTCGTAAATTATTATTATTATTATTATTATTATTATTATTATTATTATTATTATTATTATTATTATTATTATTATTAAGAGAATTATTTCTTTGATGATTATGATAATTTGTCGTCAAATTAAATCTATCTCCCCCGGTCAACTTAGTCAAACCGGCCGCATGTTTTAAAAAACAAAAGGAATTGGCCTTGAATTTTTTTAAAATAAACTCAAGAGAGAATAAAAGAGATTCAAATTGCTCTTACTCAATCAGACTTGAAGAATTTTCTGTTTTTGAGTTCTATACTGAAACAAAGGTCAGAAACAGTTTGTATTAATAATGACTAGCCCGTTATAAATTTAGATTTCCTTTTCTTAACTTAGGGGAAGAAAATACTTCTACGCTATATTTACAAACAAATCAATTAATTTAATTGTACGAGTTACACCCGAGAAGGGAGCCTTGATGTAATTGGTAATTGGTAAAATTGTTGTCATGTGATCAGGATGCCATGCCGTTCAAGCCGTGGAAACAGCCTCTTGCAGAAATATAGGTTAAAATTAAGTACAATAGGCCTTTGTATTCTGGCCCTTCCGGAATCGTGCATAGCAGAAGCTTAGTGCATCGGACTGCCCTTTCTTTTGTTTTCTTTTTTTAGTTACACGCGAGGGTCAAATACCAAATCGGGCTATTGCACCCGAGTGAGCTAGTGATCAATGAAAGGTGTAAAAACTATGAGAAATATGACCTATTCTGGCAGAAGGTAACAGTGTCCGATAAAATAATCGAAGACGGGGGCGGATCTTGTGCAAAGATTACAAGTTTATGTGAACTCAGTTATTTCTTCCTAGAGCTTGTATTTGTATTAGGCTTAGTAAAAGTATAAAAATATTTAGCTTGAAATACAATCCCTTAGTTCGTTATTACTCCCTCCGTTTCAATTTAGATGGGGTAGTTTGACTCGGCATGGAGTTTAAGAAAAAAAAAAAAAAGACTTTTGGAACTTGTGCTCTTAAAAGCTTAAGGGGTAAAAACTTTGTGGAGCCATAATATTTGTGTGGTTATAAAAGTTTCTCGTTAAGGGTAAGATTGGTAAAATGAAGAGTTTAAAGTTGAATTATTTTTAAATTTAGAAATGTGTCATTTATTTTTGAACAGACTAAAAAGGAAAGTACCCATCTAATTTGAAACGGAGGGAATATTATATTAACTTGAGATTTTTAAAACGTATAAACTTAAAATTTTGAATTTGGGTCTATACACACATAAATTAGTACTATCACTGGTATTGCAAATTAAGCTGAAAGCACTTTGGCAAAAGGAGACTGTGGGAGACATACCTGAAAGCTATTTGGCCTATTTTGTGCATTTTGTTAACAGACAAACATCTTTCCTTGTCATATCATACTTTAGAGGGAATAGTGGAGATTCTATATTGGAGAGAATAATAAAGAGGGTAAGTCATGCACATTTCACATGGTCAAAAGGCTTATTTATCACATTGGATCTTAGTCATTTTATGTGGTCCACAAATATAAAACATCTATGTGGACTTTGAGGCGGATTCAAGATCTTTAATTAACGGGGCACAACTATCGAATAATAATTTGAACAAATGTTATATCAAACTCAGGCAATATATTAAAAGTCAAGTTGTGCCCCCAACATTATCTTGGCATGTAAGGTGAGTACCACATGGAATACTAACTGAAATTATCTTTGAAATGTAAAATTTTTATTAAATGGGAATTTGAATTTACACTTTGCTTTTTGTTCTGCACTAACGATCATTTGGTTTGAAGACGATTAGTTATACTGGGATTAGTTATCCTGGTATTATTTTTTATTGACTGTTTGGTATGTTGAATTAATTTTAGGATTATCAATTTTACTGCTTTATCCCAGGATAACTTATTGTGCGATTACTATTCCCTCTGACAAGTATAAGTTATCTCGGAATCATGTGATAACTTATCCCAAGATTAGTAATCAAACAAGGGATAAGGCGGTACAAAATTTTAATCATAATTAATTTGGGTTATCTATCATATACCAAACGACCCCTTATCTAATAAGAGACGGCGTAATTTTCCTATGCTAAATAGCAAATTTGGGCCTCCCATCAGAAAATATTGGCCCAATGAGTGAAATCTTATGTTTTAGAACTCAATCTCGTGTTCCGAGGCCTTCAAAATCTCATTTTATTCCTCCTCGATTGGCGTGCACTATCCGGGCGCATTTCTGGAAAGCTTTTATGTGAAAAATTGATAAAAATAATAATTTTTATCTTTCAAAGTTAATTTAGTTGACTTCGGTCAACATTTTGAGTAACGAACCCATACTCGTGTTATGACAGTCCCGGCGGGCCCGTATCGAAATATGGTACCTGGGTGTACGCCCGGAATCGAATTTCGGGGTCCCTAGCCTGAGAAAAGAATTTTTGATGAAAATTGTAAGGGTGAAAATCAAATGGTTTTAAGAGTTTGGTTAATGTTTGATCTTGTTGATATCAGGCCCGTATTTTAGTTTCGGAGCCCGGTACAGGTCAAAAATAATATTTATACCTTATATGTAAAATTTGGTGAGAAACGGAACTGATTTGACGTGATTCGGACGTCCCGTTGTGAAAATAGGAATTTCAAAGTGTTCTTAGAAATTTCATGTGTTTTGGTGCTAAATCCGTAGTTCTAGATGTTATTTTGGCGATTTGATCGCACGAGCAAGTTTGTATAATGTTTTAAGACTTGGGTGCATGTTTGGTTTGGAGCCCCGTGGGCTCGGGTGAGTTTCGGATAGGCTATGGATTGAAATGAATTTAGAAAACATAGTTGGTATGCTTCAGGTCCGCAGATCTCGCATTTGCGGCGTCTGGCTAGCAAATGCGAGCCTCGCATTTGCGAAGAAAGTTCACATTTGCGAGCATGGGAGGGCACTGGGTAGTTTCGCATTTGCGAAGAATAGGTCCGCATTTGCGGAAGTCCAAGTTCGCATTTGCGACAGGCTGTTTGCATTTGTAAAGGTTGCAGGAATGCGAGGAGTTCGCATTTGCGAGCTTCGCAAATGCGACACATGCAGCAGATAAGTCTTGACTTAGACGGGATTTTTCTCATTTTTCAAAACATCCAAACACAAGAAACCCTCTAGGCGATTTTTCAAAGACCATTTCTTCCCCAAATCAAAGGTATGTGATTCCTAACTAGTTTCTTTCAAATTTCATTTTTATTTTACAAGATTTCAACCTAGAATCTAAGGTTTTCATGGTGGAATTGGAAATTTTCGGGTAGAAATTAGAGATTTCGAAATTTGGGGATTTAGACCTCAAATTGAGGTCGGATTCCAAAACCAATTGTCTACCCGAGCTTGGGTGAATGAGTAATCGGGTTTTGGTCCGAATTTTGGGTTTTGACCAAGTAGGTGTCACACCTCCTTTTTACCCGAGGGGGGTATAAGGGAGTTTTTCCAATTTAAGTGACTAAATCGAAATGGGATAATTTTTTATTTATTTCAGAGTCGCCACTTGGGATATTTATTATGGTGTCCCAAGTCACCGGCTTATTTTAAAATCCTAATCGAGGAAATTTGACTTTATTTAAAAGTCTGCGAATCCAGAAAACTAGGTAGGGAATTCTGTTAACCCGGGAGAAGGTGTTAGGCATTCCCGGATTCCGTGGTTCTAGCACGGTCGGTTTAACTATTTATAATTGGCCTAATTATCTGATTAATTACAAGTTTTAAACCTATTGTGCATTTTTAACTTTATAACCACTTTTAATTATTTTA